CGCTACAGTGTCATGGCGCCATAGTGAGCGTCATGGCACTACGAGGAGAAATAGACGGACGAAAAAAGTACGGAGCGCCTAGGCACCGACCTCTCGGGCAAAAATTCCAACTTCCACTATATTTTGTGTTGTAGGTGTCGTGGCATGTTTCCGAGTGCCCCGACACTATTCTCTATGATATTTGGGCTTCAAAATAAGTGTTGTAATGTCTTCTTTACTCACTCAGGCTATGATTTTCTCTCAATTTGATCCATTTATGTCTTGTTTCTTCTCGATTATTCATGTTGATGCAAAATTCTGCCGAGCTGCCGAGGTCGGCCACGTGGCAACTGGCCAAGCTGACGAGGTGCAAGCTCATGCAAGGTAAGACCTGCAAAAAAAAAGTAAACACTCTGACGCTCAAGTCATTATAGGTGCGAGCTTAAATAGGTCATTCTCAAAGTAGAATTGCATACCTGAGTAAGAGGAATGAAGATCCTCTTATAGGTGGAGTGAAAGGACACATCCGTTATCGTTGTTACAACAAGACAGTTAGATGTCAGGCCATAGGTCGGCAATGATTAAGGTCGGCTATGGATAAACTTAGTAGCTCAAGCTCGGCCATAGGTGAGTTTAGGAGCTCGGTCATAGGTGAGCTAAGGAGCTTGGTCAGAGGCGAGCTAAGGAGCTCGGTCATAGGTGAGCTTAGGAGCTCGGCCATAGGTGAGCTCCTAAACTCACCTATGGCCGAGCTTGAGCTACTTAATCTAAAAGCTTAAGTTTGATTGATAACGATAAATTAAATTATTTTATTCATATTATTATACTACTAAAATTGTGAAACTAATAATATTGGATTTTAATTTTGTGACTCATTTTAGAGTTGCAACTACAAATATATAATATGTTGCGGTGAGTTTTTTTAATTACCGCTTAATCTAAAAGTTCAAGTTTGATTGATGACGATAAATTCAATTATTTTATTCATATTATTATACTACTAAAAATTTAAGTTAACCTAAATTTGGAGGTGGAAAATTACGTCAGCAATATTGGCCAATTGCAAAAGCAAATTTAGGTCGAAGGATCATTTTCGTTGCTTTGTTATTGATCTTTTTCCTTTTTCTTCTTTTTGTCTAAAGAGGAAAATTTTGAATAGGAAGAAGATAGACTTTGCTGTAGCCATATCAACTTTAGTTAGAAAACAAAAATGTTGATAGCAAAAATATCTGCACCAATCATTTTTTACTCAAAAAACATAAACTATGTTGTCATGGCAATGCACTGTAATTTCATGCTACTGCTTAAAATCTTACATCATCACATGTAGAAAAATTATTAAACAAGTTAAAAGATCCAAACGAATAAAGGTTTATTGTCGTTTCTTGCCACTCGGGAAAAAAAAAGGCGATATAGTTTAAAGAGTTCTAGAGATATCCACGTGAGATCAGGGACACGTACTTCTGAAATTTACTTAAATTTACTATTGTAAATTACAAATTGAATAAAATGTTATTTGGCAAGGTCCACATGGCTTTTTTCCCCGTTCTAGATTTGAGTCACACCGACTCTGTAATTTATTTTTTTTATTCTTATTTTTTTAGCATTTTTTATTTTCTATTTATGTTTCTTTTTTAAATATATTTTTTTTGTGATGGATCTAATATCAAGTCCGTTTTGATGTTTAAATATTGTTTTTTAGAAAAGTGTATTTTATTTAAAATAAATCATTTTAACTTTTATATCTTTTTTTAATAAATTTAAATTCATAATCTAAACTCACGTAAATGTAATAATTTTTATCCTTTTATTTAATAAAATAATAAAAAAACTCACTAATTTAATGAAAATCTAATTTTTCAAAATTAAATTTGAAACCCAACTCTAATTTCTTTTTTTTTCTAAATCATATCCATTTTATTTCATACAAAAAAATTGTAATTTGACACGACGGAATATATTTCTTTCAACAATTTTTCAAATGAAAATCTTGCGAACGGTTGTAAATTGATACAATTGCTAAGTTCAAGTTTAAAATTAACATTTTTCTATTATGTTTATATGCATTTGTGGTCAAACTAAACTCTTGAAGCCGCTACTCATGTCAATAGGTAGGATTGATGATGAAGTTGATGGGAAAGAACCCCTACTCTTACTGCAAGAATTATTAAGCCCAAATTAACTGAAAATTTAATTAAGACGAAATAACAACAATAAAACATAATAATTTACAGACAAGAGAAAAATATAGCTCATAAGAAAAATTCACTATGGAAAAATTATAACAATCGCATAGAATTCTCTCCCCGGTCCCAATTATACAAAATATTTTCTCAAAACAAATATCACTCAAACAACCATAGTTAGTATATCATGCTTAAAAGTGTTTTAATGCAAGGTTATGAGCCATTTTTATAGCACTTGGAGCACAACATCTCAATGTACTCTTCCGATGTGTGACAGTTTCTAATGTAATATTTTGTCAAAAATCCTACCGAGGTTGGTACTAAGAGAGAACTTTGGTAGAATGATGATATAGCAAGAAAAAGTGTGATACTGCATTTTACAAAAAAAATTGACTAGTTAGAAGAGAATTTTCTATACATACCTATACTTTCAAAGGATCTCAGATTAAAAAAAATCTAACAAAAGTTTATAATATCTAAAAATTTATAATATATAAAGATTGCTCCTTTCATTTTTTGAAATAGAACTCCACAAATTTTGAATATATTATAAAGTTCAATAAGCTCAAACTAGCTCAATAAGCTCAATTAGTTTTAATACTAATTGCCTAACATAAAGTTACAAAATTAATATACATAATCTAAACTCATATCTTTCACTGGTTTGAATACTTAATAAGGTGACCCGAGAGCTTGAAAGATTATTTTCAACAATTTTATGTGTGCATGGATGGAGAGAGAGATTAAAAATCGGGTATATTTCACATAATTTTTCTCTTTTCTTTTTATAATATGTGGGAATGAGAATTGAACTCAATCTCTTGGTTTGAGATATATGTCAATTAACGATAAATTATGCTCGCTTTGATGGTATTTTACCTGATTAGATAATCATGGAAGTGAATACTCCATTCACGACGTTAAACAACCCAATTGATTGGAAATTAAAATTTAAAATTTCACTGTACAAAAGTTTGGGCTTACATATGTTAAATTTTCTAAGACCCATTTAATAATCCTTTCATTTTTCTTTGGTAAGGTTAAAAATTATACTTGATTTGTCACAATTTATTTAGTACCATGGTTTTCACCTTCTTTATAAACCTATTTAATTTCTTAGTCAAATTTCAAAAAAAAAATTTAAAACTTTTATTTTTATAGTCTTCAAAAGAAAATGTATAATAAGTATCCATGACTAAACAAAATAACATGCACGGGAAAGTATTGTTTATAAGTTTAATTTTCAAAAAATAGAAATTCAAAAGTACAATAGTTATCTAATAGGATCTAATGCTCCCTTTCAAAACTTTTTTTTTTCCCTCAAATGAAATGTTTTCATGTGGACAAAAACTAAACAAAAAAAAAAGAAATTAATCAATAAACCATGCTTCTTCCACTTTACAAATTGAAAATAAACCATAATTGATAAAAGAAATCTATATATATATATATGAAGAGATAATGACAAGCATATAAGATTGAAAAGCTCTTCATTCACAGTCAAAGTTTTCTCTTTTGAGAAAAAAAAAATAAACAAAAAGAGAAAAAGAAGCAAAGATGGAGACCAGCAATAAGCATTTTATTGGTGGTATTTCCACTTGTTCATATGAACAATAAATGTATACCACATAAGAAATCCACACATATACTTTAATTTGTGTGCAAATTTTAATGGGTAGCTTCACTTTTTAAATGATAGCTAGAAAATCTTTATGTGCATGTTATGTGTGATGTATTTTAACATTTATTTTATTTTTTTTTTTTTTCCAAAGTTATTTTTAAAATTTTTAACCAATTTGAAAAATGAATTATAAGTTTTTAAATCTATTTTTTATTGGATTTTAAGAACATTTTTAATTTAATGTGATTAACATACATATTATTTTGATTTTAATAAAAATAATTCAATATATAAACCATAAGCTATCAATATAACCAGGGATATGTTTAGAACAATAAGAAAATAATAAGAGTAAATAGAACAATAGGATGTATAAAAAGGGTATTAAAGAAAATCGAAATCAAAACATTAAGAAATTTGTTAAGTACTATATGATATTGTAAAATATTCATGGTAAATAATAATCTTCTTTTTAGTTCAAATAATAATCTATTAATGGTCAATAATAGCCTAAAAAAAATGGTCAATAATAACAATAACAATGAGATAAAGTCATGTTATATCATAGAGAGGCCAACAAAATGGAAATTACATAGCATGTGCTAGATGACTATAATAATGAAGTACAAATACAATACAACCGAATGGCATAGTTTAAGGCACCACAGCGGTAAGAAGTTAAGATGTTATCACCCAAAATTCAAATTCGAATCCTCCGGTATCAAGAAATCAAAAAGAAAATAAAATAATGGAGTATATAATACCACTCGCCCATAAAATTAAAAATTTACCTAATTTTCTTGTATATTGAAGATATGAGTCCTTACCCTATAGTTATAGTCATGGACATTAGTCATGGTACTAAATGTCCATCGATATTTCTATTTATCTATAGATTCAATATTCAATATTGATATTGATATAAAGGGTAATTTGATTAAATATCAAAAATATTAACCAAAATGTCACAAATGTGTACATAATATTAATATTAATCATTTTCATCTTACTTAGAAATAGAAAAATATTTATTTATTAATTTAAATATTTTTTACAACTTTTTAATTTCTCTCCAACTTTTAAAGAAATATTTATTGATATCTATGTTTTATCTATACGAGACTTCAATATTTCAATCGATATCGACATCATTTAAAATATCTCTTTTTCTGCATTTCTATGTTGTGTTCGGCAGCGAGCTTGATTGAATGCCAAGATGTTGGCTCTTAAATAGACTTGATGGGGGGCGTGTGTTCACCACACATCATCTTCTTCATCTTCTTATTCTTCTTCATTATTTTTTCATCTTCTTTCATTTTCTAAAGCCATTACTATTTTCTCTGTTAATTTCTTCCATGTCGACGTTGAACCTGCAGAGCGCGTCCCTAAACAGCTGCACCGCCGCCAAGTTCCCTCTCCCACCCCACGACCACATAGAAATAATCGAATCTCAGCCCTTCGACTACTCCAAACGCGCCCAATGGCTACGCGCCGCCGTCCTCGGCGCCAATGACGGCCTCGTCTCCACCGCCTCCCTCATGATGGGCGTCGGCGCCGTCAAGCCCGACGTCAAGGCCATGATCCTCACCGGGTTCGCAGGGCTTGTCGCCGGCGCCTGCAGCATGGCCATCGGTGAGTTCGTCTCTGTCTACTCTCAGCTGGACATAGAGAGAGCCCACATCAAAAGAAACCAACATCAGCTGAAACAGGAGGAGCCACACAATCTGCCAAACCCTCTTCAGGCCGCCGCAGCCTCGGCGCTGGCCTTCTCCATGGGGGCCATGGTGCCCCTCTTGGCGGCCGCCTTCATAAAGGAGTACAGGGTTAGGCTAGGGGCGGTGGTGGCCGCCGTCACCGTGGCGCTCGTGGGGTTCGGGTGGTTGGGGGCGACGCTCGGGAACGCGCCGGCGGTGCGGTCGTCGGCCAGGGTTTTGATCGGAGGGTGGGTGGCCATGGCTGTGACGTTTGGATTGACCAAGTTGATCGGGTCTAGTGGCCTATAAGAATATATAAAAATGTTTATCTATCAATCCTATCGACTTAAAAATTTGAGTAGCTACTTATCTATTAAATACGAAATTGACCAATAAAAATATGTAACCCTAAAAAGTTAGCAGGAGCGGTAAACAAGTATTGTTTGTAAGAATATTACTGTGAAGTTTAATGTGATAGGTCGTTTAGGGTTTGAAATAATTAAGGTGTGGGTTGTTGTTAATGGGATTTGATATATATTTGACTTTTTTTTAGTTCGAAGATATGTGGAAGTGAGAATTCGAACTTCCAATCTCATTGTTAGTTGTTTTATGCTTATTAGAACACATGTGTGTACAATATCTTAACTACTAGCGATGAAATAATTTCTTCATATGTAAATCTATCTCTCTTCTGGATCGAGCTCTTGTTCTTATATTTATTACTTAAAAGGTGGGCATAATTTTAAAATGGTAAAAACCTGTTTTTATTCATTAAAAAGTACTTCTTAAAATGCTCTTCGCGTGTTTGGTAATTAGATAATTAAAAGTGACTTTAAAATTTTTAAAAACTTTAAAGCAAAAAACACTTAAAAGTGTTTTTAAAGAAAGTACCTAATTAGTGCTTAGGTTTAAAAGCTTCTTTTTCTCGAAGTTGATAGATTATATGATAAATTATCTTATTTAAATATATATTCTCAACACTATTTCACCAAAAAAAACTTACTTTTCACTTAGATTTTGAATGTTAGAAGTAGAACCAAGCTCCAAAAATTAGCAATTATATGACTAGAGAAGAAATTACATTTCAATGATTTCTAATCTCAATATCTTTTTCTTCCAATATCATGTTAAAAATAAATCACAGACTAATAAAACTAAAAACTTAAAACTTAAATTGATAAATCGAGGCACTAGTGAAACATATCTCAAGAGTGTTTGAATCTGTATACCATTTTTTTCTAATTGTAATACTCTAAAGAAATGATAAGTTGCAGTAATATTAATATTTTAAAAAGTATATATATATATATATATATATATATATATATATATATATTTTTTTTTATTTATGTTAGAAATTTAGTTAAAATACTATTTTGATCTTCTGCTCTCAAAACGTGCATTTCGTCCATGTACTTTCAACGTTGATTCATCCTAGTTTATGGTACTTTCAACACTAATTCATTTTAGTTTTTGTAATTTTAAAATGTTCATTTTGATCATTGTATTATTAAAAAATGACCATTTTAATCACTATTTGCAAAAATTTTAACACAACACTTCTACACGGAAACTTTTTAATACAAAATTATGGTTTACATTTTTTAAAAATATATTGAGTTTAGTGTCGTATAGAAATTATGATAGAAAATGAGATTAAAAATAAAATTAAGGGTTTTTAAAAGTAAAGAAACCAAGGTAAACATTTTAAAAGTACAGTGATTAAAATAAATCAAAGTTGTAAGTAGAACATGTACAAARACTAAAATAGTATTTTAACATAGAAATTTCTGCTAATTACTTTTTTAAAATTTGAAAATAATTATTAATGGTAAAATTGAAAAGCTGTTTATAATAAAAATACAAAAATAAACATGTCAGTATTTAATTAAAATAAGTATATACGAATAACTAAATTCAATATTCGTGTATAGATGCTATTTTTAAATACTATAAATTTTATTTTTCAAAATAATGATTTATATATTTGTCATAAAAACCAATTTTCATTATTAAAATACTAAATTAAAAAGTATTTTAGATTTAAATATAAATAGCATATTGATTGGAGAATCGTGAAATCCACGGCAAGCTAACGAAAAATAACCAGAGTTTTGTGATTTTAAAAAATGGCGAATGCATCTTTTGTGAGAATTATGTAGGGGTAAATTTACATTTTTATCTCCACTCACATCTGCTGCTCTTGGATTTACGGGAACGGGAACTGTCACTGCGTCATTTGACAATTATACCATGCAGGCCACTATTTCAAACTCAAGACTATATCCCTAAAACCTCAACCTACATGGAAAATAAAATACAAATTAATTTAGATTATGTTTCAGAGTTAAATCAATCTCTCTGCCCAATTAGAATTTAACTCAAAAACCTTATTTATGGCATCTTCATTGATGCAGGAACTCATTATCGTAAGTGAGAATGAGCAGATGAAGGATAACGTCGGGCGTGGATCAGTCCTTCCGACCACAACGTAATACTGATAAATAATAACATTTATCACCATGTAGAAGACAAAGAGTGTCCTAATGATCTCTAATTTCTAGACTATGTTACGATGAAAAAGCATACCTTCTATTGTTGTCCAAGTGAATCATCCAGAACAACCTTTTTATTTGCCAACATCGACAACGTAGCAGCAAATATGAGTGGGAAGTATTACAAAAGCAAATCTACTTCTAATCTTCTTCCTACTCATATGGCTATTTTTTATCGTAGAAATGCAAATTTCAGATGATATTTTAGCAATCGGGGTGTGGACCCTATCACTTTTGTCGAATTACATGATCAGCGACTTTGTACATACAAACTCCGTAGATAGTTCCACATATAAAGGAAGTGAAAGTGTGAATGTCACTCAAGTCATGCAGACACACAATCCCAAACTCGATAAAGACTCTGTAATGCACATACTCATTCTAGAGATGATGCACTAGCATGCGTTTTTGAAAAAATTAAAAAGGTACAAGAGAGTGACAACCCGTGTAAACTCAAAGAGACACTGTAATGGGGAGCATGTACCTTACCTTTTCTAAACGCACCAGCAGACGCATTCTTCAAATAATAGAATGAGAAGATTTGTGGAGATAGTTTCATATAGAGAGTTTTGTATATGTCCTAGAGTGTTGTATATTTGTGGATACAGACCCCGTAGATAGTTTCATATATAGCGGAAGCGGAAATGTGACTATCACTCAAGACATGTAGACGTACGATTGCAAACTCGACAAAGACTCTGTAGTGAGGAGCATATACGTGTGCTAGACGCACAGAAGACATGGTGTGGATATTTAGTCTCCCAATATACTTACTATATTTATATTTCCAAAACTCTCGAGCTTCATCTTAATTAAATCTTCTTTAAGTTTAGTTCAACTTTTAGGTTTTGTATTTTTCTTTTGAATTTAGGATTTTAAAGAATAAAATCAAACTGATCTCCAAGTTATTTTTGTAAATATTGATTATGTTTAGATCGTTGAATTTCTAGAACTATTATCCACTAGTATAAGTTGATTAGAGATTTCTTAAATCGAGATGGTTTTTTTTTTCAGGGGCATATTTGCCTTCAATAAAATTGAAAATTAAATCTGACAGTTGCCCACTGTCACAATATTACAATATTAAATACTTTTGGTCATTTTTCAAAACACATTAGTTTTACGTTGTTACTCTTGTTGCCCCTTATTATTTTATATATTTTTAAAGAGAGGATTGTATGAATAGAGCACAAGTTCTTTGTGCGCTATTTTTGGAAAATATGTTAAATCAACTAACTTTTTTTTTGTCAGCTAGAAATGCTCAGCAGTAACTGACATATATGTCCAACGAAAAGGCTGTGAATTGGATCCCCCACCCAACATATTGTATTAAAAAAAACAAAAAAAAAGACTATTTTTTCTTTTCAAATATCTACAGAAATTATTTAAAATATTATGACATTCATAATTCATTAAACAAATTAAATTAACTATTAATGATTAATTTAAATATATTGTTAAAAAAGGGAAAATAAAAAGTTGGGAACATATGAACACAAAAACAATAAATAAATAAATTTGAAATATCTATACACTTGAAATATTGTTGATCAAAGATTCTGCCGAGCTAGCGAGGTCAGCCATGTGGCAACGAGCTGATGAGGTGTGAATTTCTACAAGGAGGAACAAATACTCCGATGCTCAAGTCAGTATGATTCAAACTCAAAAGTAAGTCGTTCTCGAATCATAATTGCATGCCTGAGTGAGCAGAGTGGTGTCCCTTTTATAGGCAACGGGAGGGTATAAGGCCATTGGAATCACTCCGACAAGCGATTACGAGCTGTCGAGGCCCAGGTCGACTTCCTCAAGTCAGTTGGAAAGAATTTAGATGATTCTCTAGTTAGTTCTTTCTTCAACTGAGGATAGGTTGGTCTTCTCCCTTAAGTAGTTGAACTTGTTGGTCTTAGAGAACTAACATAATTGGTCCATGTGTAATGTTGTATTTTTCCCTCCAACAGATATCGTAATGTATCATATTCTTCAACCTCAACAAATAACTTTTCCACTTGTTCTACTGATGAATCTCCTCCTCATGTTTTGATATTAGGGCATGGCCTTTGGTGGACAGTGAATTATCAAAAGGTAAATGGAGCAGAAAAAGAATACCATTGAAACTCCTGCACTCTTTATACATTTGAAACTTTTGACCTAATGCAATTTTCATAATTAGTCAAAGTCTGAACAAATGGGAAAAGAAAAATTATGGTATTAGGAGTTTAAATTATAAGGAGAGAAAAATTATTTGTGGGAGGATAATGGATTCTTAATGAGGTGAAAAAATACCTGAGGCTGATGCCAAATTTATTAAATAGTAATAATGAACTCTTTAAATGGCAAAACTAATACTCATATTTCATATTATTTTCATTTACTAAATAGTAATAATTCCTAGAAATGAAGGACTAGATTAGAGAGCCCAAGAATTTAGGTGAGGAAGTGGAATAGGCTCTTTAATGGCAAAATTTCTTATTTTATTTCTCACTTATTACATAGCAATAATTTGTAAAATGGCGAAGATGGAAAATCAAAAGTTTCTTCCCTTCAAGCCTCTTTTGTTATTTTTATTTATTTTTTCTTTAGTAGGATTCGAACTTTTTTCTGAACCTAGAAACAGCGGATTTTGAACCCCTTTCTTATTATTAGTAAGATAGGGTAGGGCTTCGGGGGCTAACCCGCTTCCCGTTACTCAACGATAGCTTCCCATTGTCCGAGTGTCCTTTGGTTTTTGAAATTGTTGGGAAACAGGGAGGGTGAGAACATAGAAGACTGATATCAAAGGTACAAGGTGGATTTCTCATGGTCCCCAATATTTTTTTTTTCCTATAGGAGCATAACAATGATCTTTTTTTTTAGAATACCAACAGGCATCTGGAAAACGGAAAATAGGTACCATTAGAGAAAAAAGTAATATCTTAACCAATTAAATTGTATGCTCATGTCCATGTTATATTTATGATTATTGTTTGTCTGCTATTTTAAAAATATATATCCAAATTACATTAGATGTATTTTGGTTAATATCGTATTCGTTTTTTTTTTTTTTCCCTTTTCTAAGAAATGAGTCTTCACAAATGAATTTGTTTTTCTTCTTCATTTGTTTAATAGTTCTTACTTTTTACTGGAACTGCTTTTAATGGCTTTGAACAATCTTTATTGAGTCTTTAATGGAAAGTTTTTCCACCATCCACAACTTTTTTTTTCTTTTTGAAGAAGAATCTAAGTTATTAGATAACCATACCAATTTACGTGGATGCCATAGAATATTAAACCTCATTGAATAACATTCATTTTTTTGTTTCAAAATTATGCAATAATTTCTTTGTGTAATTTATTATCAAAATTATTGTTAAAAATTTTAAATAAGTTTGTAAAGTTAAGACATATTTCAGAAGCACTTCACATGGTAATATATATAAATGAGCTCCTTTTGTTAAAAAAATGAAAATAAAGACTAATATTGGCAAAATATCTCAATTTAAAAAATAAAATAAAATAAAAATAGGTCTAAATAATAAAGTCAAGCATTTTATTCAAACGTATGTATACGTATCAAAATTAATGCTAAAACTTCACCAGAGCAATAAATCAACTACATGATCCACCAATTTTCTCTAGACTCGAACTTTCAACCTCAAGAATATAACCGATGACCAAATGGTTTGATGTAACTACCGTTAAGCCATCAAAACCCAACTATACTCACAATTGCAACCTCTAAATTCCTTATGCTCTACAAATGGGAAAATAAATTCAATGCTTGAGAATCTTCAAAAAGAAAGAATCAAGAATGCGAATTTCCTAATGAATCCTTGTGGAATCCCAATGAAAATACCTTATTACTGCCGAATAAGCTTTGAATAGAAAAGCAGGAAAAATTAGGCCGAATAGAGACACTATGCCAAAGAAGCAAAGATTTACTAAAGATTTTGCCACTTGATTCGCTAGACGGTTAAAGAAACGAGAGAGAATGGGAAAGAAACCCTTTTAAACTTAAAAATAATTCATATTCAACATCTTAGAATCATTTGACACGACAATTTCTCCCTTTCCACGTGTAATAACAAAATGTCAACTTAAACCTAACTCAACTAGTTAAAGTACCTATTTTCCGACCAAAAGATCATAAAGAATATTAACAAAGGTCATTCTGGAATCACCATAACTGCTTGATACAACATCTTGTAGTCTAACCAACACTTAGAAGAAGTACTAACAACTGCTACATCGACTCAACATATATGGTTTGACTTTGTGCTACAAAGCACGTCATTGTCCAACCGTGTTCAACTTAAGCCCCCATCATCATGGCACATACCTTTCCCTCGTAAGGTACTCACAAACTTCATTTGTGCTCCTAACATAATAATTGACCAGGTTTACCTAACAGTACCTTTACCATTGTAGTCAATATCTTATTACGAATCATTTCAAATTTCAAAAAAATGTAGAAGAACCGTACCTACCATGGGACATATATTGCATTACGCTTCAACTAAATTGTTCTATTCCACCTCTTAGAAAATAAAGAACTTGAATCAAAATACTTAATAGCATGGCGATGTGCCACTTGCTTACACTTATCGGCAAATTGACTCTATTGCCCGCCAGTTATCAAAAAAATTTTGATAACCCATCACAAGATCATACCTATAACACATTGATTCGATTGATACACAATCAGATCCTCCATCCTAAGGATTCAAGATCCTTAATATTTAGACTACAACTCCATAAACACCAATCAGAATATTTATTTACCTTGTCAAAGCTAGTATAACTCAGCGGTAATTGGCATATATCTCCAATCAAGAGGTGGTAAGTTACATCTCACATCCCACATGTTGTAATAAAAAAAAATTGTCATTTACATTTGTCATGTATCTAATTTAGACATCAAAATTGCATCAACAAACACCACATCACAGGTCTTAATAACCACTTGGGCAAATAACCTTCAAATGGTCAGAATAAGTAAATACAAGTATGCTTGTGCGCATACGCACAGAGAGAGAGGGAAATATAAGCGACTTCAATATCCAAAGAAAAATTAGAAATAAAATATGCTAAACTGCTATTTTACAGCTCAAATCAAATGATTGTCAAAACATAATAAATTCGTTGTCACGATTAGATTTTTATTTTTCACTTCACTTCTTTTTCCTAATATATTTTCCTTTTTTTAATGAATCTCTCCATACGGACCCTTCATGGCCAACATTTAGTCGATATTTCTTCATTCTATTGACATTTTTTACATTATGGCCCTCACACAGATATCATCAACTTAATAGAGATGATATCTGCCCATTAGAAASAACAAAATATCAGATAATTTCAAATACAATGTGCAAGAAAAGGAAAAGAATTTCCCCGAAAATATTAAATTAGCGAAGAATGTCAAACATATAATCACAGATCTTGACCAACTCGCTCAATTTGACAATCTCGCAACCACTTATTTCATACAAAAATCGCTATAGATATAATCACAACAAAACTTAGGTAATCAATGACTCCATAAGACGAGAACACTTCAGTTGTTTGGTTGGTAGCTTTCTCATGCAAGAAAAATAGTTGTGTTATGCCGCATACCTTCCACCTTGATGAATACCGTCATCCTTTCCATAAACTCGGCATGAGCGTCTTTTCAAAGATCGACCTTCCACCCTCCCAAGTTCTCTGTATCTTCGGCATATCAATCCAATGACACCATATCCGAACCAGCCGTTTGAAAAGTGGCAAACTGATCGAGATGGTGGTTTAGTTCATCTCATTGTATCTTGAAAAGGTTCTTCAGTTTCACCAACAGTCTCCACTCATCCATGGACAAGTCATCCTATACATTGGCATAACCAATCCGTTGGCCAAAACTATCAATGAGAGAGACAGATAAAGAGAGAGACAGAGAGAGAAGTAAACTAACCCGATAATTGGCTTTGAGTAGGTCAATGGACTTCCTTGATATGTGGCTGACAAGTTCATCTTCTAAATCAAAATGCCTACCATACATCTTTTGCTGCTCCTCCGAAGAATGGCCAACTATCTGTTGGAAGAACCCAAGCAAACTTTAGCTCGC